TATTGACTGCTCATCAGAATCATAAGGTGACTTTTTTAACCATCTATAGAAAGATGCAGAATGCTCGCCTCTATCGAATGATGAAAACCACAGACCGATAGCTATTTCTGTTAAAAAGTTGTTCAAAAAACAATTAGTCTTCTTCTATTTTGAAATGGATAATAGTTACGACCCAATGGCAATATCCGTATACGATTGATTAAGGATATTTTTATATTGTCTTTTATTGAGAATAATAAAATAGATGCTTGAATAACAGTGAATTTTTTAAAATCAATTTTATAATTGTTTTATAGTTGCAATTTATGTATTGTTTGTTATTTGTTTGAATATGGTACAATTATGTTGTTGTTGTGCTTGTTGATATGCAGCTTGACCACCGAAAATTGCAAGCCAAAAAAGAATACGAGCATCATTTTGACAACGGTTAATTTTCGATGATGACAATAACTGTTGACATGCTTCAATCATACAATGTAGAAATGTAGTATCACATGTAAATTGTGTTTTACCACATTTATCATAACATAGATCATGTTCATTACAACATACAATTAAAACATTTTCACCAATATTTTGAAGAAATGTATCAATATTCAAGGTTACTGGACCACAACCGTTTGCTTGACGACGAAATCGATTAACAGTACCACTTAATGAATGAAGAGAAAGAACAAAAAAAGAAAAAATGAATAGAAGACGCATCTTTCAGTTAGACTACTGTTGATACTTATGTCTATGTAATGGACAAGGTTTGTATGCACCTAAAAGAAACACGTCATTTTTTTTTTCATTGATTTAAGAAGCAAAATAGACCTGATGCTTCTGTAAATATACTTCATAAATGTGAATAAGAAACATTATGTAAATGAGAAGTTATTTTCTAATTCAATGATCTTATAATAAAAGAAGGTTTATTTCTAAGCATCACAGAAAAAAACATTAAGTAATATTTTTTTGGAGTCGCTTTAGTGGAAATTATCTAATAAAAAAAGAACAAGTTAATCTATATTACGCAGTATTCACAATCAGACACGTAGTCAGAAGTTTTCCAAGGAGCTGCAAACCAACAGTAAAATTTTTTGTTTGTTTTCGGAAAGGTTTTGTATCTATTTGCTCCCTTATCCTCAAATGTATCTTGGTCAAG